TTTAGGGTTTAGGGTTTGGTGGGGGGAGGGGGGGGGAGGACTCTTGCGGCCCCTGAACCCTGAACCTTAAGCTTGAAACCCGGATCCGTTTGAGGTTTTTTAGGGTTGCCCTAGTGAAGAATGGGCTAGACATGTTTCGACGAAGGTCTAGGGCCAAAGTTTAGGGTTAGACCACAGGAGAAGTGAACATTGTAGTTCCTTTTTGTGGTTTGTATTTAGGATCCTATTAGGTAATCCCAAAAAAGAACTACTATGGGGCCTATGGGTACTATGTAGGATTTCAGAATTCAGGATGTAGATACGACGTCCAATCAAAGACATGCGACACTGCCCGAGAACGCGAGACACCTCATCAGTTTCTCGACAGTAGGACCAGGATGATCATAACCCTCAAAACAGAGCAACGCCCAAGTTCATGTCCGAGAGAAAAGATCTATTGGACCACCCCAAACCCCAAACCGTGAACCGTAAGCCCCTCCTTAAAGGCACCCTAAACCCTAAACCCCAAAGCCCAAACCGTGAACCGTAAGCCCCTCCTTGGAGGAAGCCCTTTTTAGTTGTGGGCTCGCCGTTCTTTGTTTTCTGAGAGCCCCTAGAGGCACGGTGCTCTTGGTCTAAATTATTATTAGGGTTTAGGGTTTAGGGTTTAGGGTCTAGGGTTTAGGGTCTAGGGTTTAGGGTCTAGAGTTTAGGGTTTAGGGTTTAGGGTCTAAATTCTGAACCCAAATAAAACCTCTCGTTAAACCCTTCACAGGTCTCCAGAATAATACAGACTGAGCCCCTATAAAACCGATAGACACCCCAAGTCCTAAACCCTAATTTGGGGGCCTTAATAGTTGCCTATACAATTTTTTGGGGTGGTTCCTTCTTACAATTATAGTAGAATGTACCCAAAACCCTATTCTAACTCTTAAGGCCCTACAACCCTAAGCCCTAAACCCTATAAACCTGTAAAAGTTGAGGAAGTACTCTAAACCCTAAACCCTAAACCCTAAACCCTATGAACCTATAAACCTGTAAAAGTTGAGGAAGTACTCGGCCATTGAGTGCGTGCACGCCTTCTTGCGGCAGCAGTCCGGGCTCTCGCGAGAGGACTGAGGGTCTGCAGTTCATCACGCAGGGGTCCTTGGGACTAAGCATGAATTTCGGATTTAGGGTTTAGGGTTCAGGGTTTAGGGTTTAGGGTTTAGGGTTTAGGGCTGAGGGAGAATTACGAACACGAAATGTGGGGTTTTGGTTGTAAGTCTTGTCGTCTGATTTAATTCCTAGGGTTTTGGGCAGGGACACGTGTAGGACTGTAGGGCTGGACATGGAAGTTTAGGGTTGAAGTGTGTAAGGTTTTGGGGATCAGGTTTAGGGCAGAAGGTTCTGGGTTTAGGGTTCAGGGTTTAGGGTTTAGGGTTTAGGGCTTAGGGTTGAGGGCAGAAGGTTCAGTGTTTCGGGCTCAGGGTTCAGGGTTTGGAGTTGGAGGTTGAGTGGTGCAGGTACACTCTGTCTTCCTGCAGCTTTCCCATTGACAGTGCCTTTTGTGCATCAAATGCTGGCCTTACCCCTAAACCCTAAACCCTAAACCCCCAATGCAAAGGGCACACCTTTAAGGGTTTAGAGGGGCTCAAGAGTGTAGCGGCTCTGGGTTTAGGTTTTAGATAGGGTCTACCTATAGGCCCCATAGTAGTTCCTTTTCGGGATTCCCTAATGGGATTCTAAATATGAGCCCCCAAAAGGAACTACTTTAGGGTCTATGGGTAGGGTTTGCCTGTTTTTGGGACTGCTCCAAAGCCAGAAAGGTTTACAATGCTATTGCCCTGAGGGTTTGCAATCGAAACCGTAAAACCTGCTTGCACATCAGAGTTCCATGCCTCTGAACCCTCAGATCTTCATGTTAATCCACTGTTTCAGACACCCTAAGGGTCCATGTACCCAAATAGTAGATACTTTGGCCTCAAAGTAGTCCCTATTAGGGTACTTTGGGGCCAAAGTATCTACTATTTGGGCACATGGACCCTTAGGGACAGGGTCTGATAAAAGCTCGCCCGAGCAACGACATGAGTTTTGTAATTTGGGTGTCGAAAAGCCTCCCTATCTGCTAGTACTGCTAGTATCGTAGAATATACCTTAAAACGCAATGTTGATGAGTAAGGCTCCTTTTATCAAGCCCTAAAGCGTTTGTTGCGGAAGCCTCGGTAGAGGAACTCCTTAAACTGAACCATGTACAAGGTATACGGAACCTTATACCTTAAACCCTAAACCCTAAACGCTAAACCCTAAACCCTAAACTCCTAAACCCTAAACTCCTAAACCCTAAACCCCTAAACCGCGAACGAGGAGCTGGACCCATACCTGTTTACCTTCACCGGCCACGATGCCATCGATCACCTTTTCGAGGTTCGCTGAAGACACGGGGTGCAGTGGCTTACCCTAACCCTAAGGGTTTAGGGTTTAGGATTTAGGGCTATGTACCCAAATAGTATATACTTTGGCCCCAAAGTACCCATATAGGGACTACTTTAAGGCCCAAGTATATACTATTTGGGTACATGGACCCTTAGGTTAAGGGTTGTTCGGGGTTCCGGAGATTAGGGCTTCGAGGAGGTCAGAGCCCATGTGCCTTAGTATGTGTTTGGCCCCAAAACCCTAAACCCTAAACCCTAAACCCTAAACGACCTTTTTTTGGGAGCCCTTTGCTGCAAGGGCCGAGCATACCCTTAGGCCCCATAGTAGTTCCTTTTTGGGACTACCTTATAGAATTCGAAATATGAACCCCCAAAAGGAACTACTATGGGGCCTATGGGTATACGACATAAGTAGGGATATGGACTAATATGGACCCGTGGGGCCCCGGTTCAAAAAAGATGCCGCGGTCTACAGGCGGCGGTTTGTCCGCAGGCTTGCTGCTGAGCTCTTCCTGCTATTGGCAGCCTGTGCCACCAACAGAGCGGCCTTAATAATTAGAATAGGGCTTTGGGGCCCATTATACTATAATCATAACAAGGAACCCCCAAAATAACGTAGGTAATTATTGAGGCCCCTATATTACCCATAGTCTCCATTGTAGTTCCTTTTTTGGGTTGCCCAACATCGGATCCTGGCTTTCAAACTGGCTTAACTAGCAAGAAGGATCTACAAGGGATCCCATAGGTAGGGCAGCAGTCAGCACGTATTGCGGTCGAGACCGGTTCATAAAGGCTGGGACGACCTAATGAGGTTAAATTCCTTGAGCCCCAAACCCTAAACCCTAAACCTTTAAGGCCCTAAGCCCTAAGATCCTAAAGCCCGAAGCGCTACACCCTCAAGCCGTAAACCCGAGTTGTACTTACGGCTAGCATTTTTCGAGTCGGTATGGCCAGACACAAAGCCTTAGCCCCCGCCACACCATTAACATGCCAACACCCCACAACCCTGAACCCCTGAATCCCTGAGCCCTAAACCCATAATCCCTAGCCTAAGCACCGAAACGCAAAAAAGCCCTGAACTCTAAGCCTCTACACCCCAAACCCCTCCAGATCCAATCCCTTAACCCTTACATCATAAAGTGTTGCAGGTCAGTTCCGGTTTGGACTCGCTGGTGCTCGGCGAGGCTTGCATCTTGGAGGGCCTCTGCGTCCTAAAATGGCTGAATATTTCATTGTACGATTTCTTAGGGTTCCGAATTATCATGAGCAAAACAGTGCTGGATGTTTCGTAGTACGAATTATCACTAGAAACAAACATGCCCCCATTCTGATTTTCAGGGCCGCTCAAGTTCTCCACGACCAAAGCTTCAATCCAGTTGGATTCCCACGCTGGGGTACTACTAAACCCTAAACCCTAAACCCTTAACCCTAAACCCCTAAACCCCTAAACCCCTAAACCCTAAATAAAATCTCAAACCCTGGGCCCAGGGGCCCCAAACCGGAGGCGCGAACCAGCGCGGCTGGGCGCCTTCCGCAGCTTCGGGCCCATCGCAAAGCTGAGCCATTTCGAGTCGGAAATGCAGCGGCAGTATCTGGGTGCGGAGAGCTGAATCTTTTAGCAGCCTTTCCCGGAAATCTCCGGATTGATGCGAGGATTCCGCGGAGAGCTCAACCTGCGAGAAGCTGTTTATAAGGCTTTGGGGCTCTAGTGTTAGGTTACGCTGAGTAAACCCTAAACCCTATACCCTGCAAACCCAAACAAAAACCCAAATTCTTAGTCCCTAACCCGAAACATATAAGCCTAAAACCTACCTCTAGTCTCCATTGGTGTAACCATTTCCCTTTTTGGATCCTATAAGGTAATCCCAACATGGAACTAGATTTAGACCCTAAACTCTAAATCCTTAACCCTAAACACTTGCCCGTGAACCCCCACTACCCCCAAGCCTTATACCCTAAGCCTTAAGGACTACCTAGTCCCTTTTCATGTAGTGCCTGTTTTTGGCTGCCTTAGGTCCCTTATTCTAGGATCCTAACCATAGAATATGTCATCCAAGAGAAGGTGCTACATGTAAGGATCTAGGTAACCCTAAACCCGAAGCCAAACCCTAATACCCCAATACCCCAAAACCAAGCCCTATTACCCTAAACCATACCCTAGACCCTAAATCCTATGCCCTAAGCCTTAAACGCGAAGCCTTAAACCCTAAACCCTAAACCCTAAACCATACCCTAAACCCTAAACTCTAAACCCTAAACCCTACAACCCTGAACCCTAAAACAACGATACCCTAAACCCTAAGCCCTAGACCCTAAACCCTAAACCCTAGACCATACCCTAATCCCTAAGCCCTAAACCCTAAACTAAGCCCTAAAACCCTGAACCCTAAAAAACACATACCCCAAACCCTAAACCCCAAAAGCCTGAACCCTAAAAAAGGCATAACCCTAAGACCCTGAACCCTAAAACAGCCATACCCTAAACCCTAAACCCTAAAAACCCTGAACCCTAAAAAAGCCATTCCCCAAGCCCTAAACCCCAAGACCCTGAACCCTAAAAAACACATACCCTAAACCCTAAACCCCTAAGCCCTAAACCCCTAAACCCCTAAGCCCCAAACCCTAAACCAACCCTTTAAGGAACCCTAAACCCAAAGCCCTAAAGCCCCAAACCCTAAACCCTAAACCCTAAACCAACCCTTTAAGGAACCCTAAACCCAAAGCCCTAAAGCCCCAAACCCTAAACCCTAAACCCTAAACCCACCCTTTAAGGAACCCTAAACCCAAAGCCCCAAACCCTAAACCCTAAACCCTGAACCAACCCTTTAAGGAACCCTAAACCCAAAGCCCTAAAGCCCCAAACCCTAACGAAGCTGCGAGGCTCAGATCTTGGCGCAGGTGAAGGCGTGCCATGCCCACTGCATCGCCAAGGGCGAGGAGGGAGACGAGGTGGCGTGGGGAAGGATTCCTTTAAGGGTTTAGGGTTTAGGGTTTAGGGTTGAGGGCTTAGGGTTTAGGGTTCAGGAAGTTTAGGAAATTAGGGTTTAGGGTTTAGGGAGTTTAGGGTGTAGGAGTTTAGGGTTTAGGATGTTTAGGGGTTCAGGGTTTCGGAATCGGAAGTTTAGGGGTTTGGGAGTTTGCTGTTGCGGATTTCGGGTTTAGGGTTCAGGGTGGGTTCGGGTCGTAGGGTGTCCTGGGCGGCGAAGGCCAATTTACGGCTTCTTGTGCCGCGATGAGCCAGGACATTTTGGACCCCAAGGCGTTGCCTGAATTCCCAAGCTGGTTTGCCCTAGAAAACCTCAAACCCTCCAGATCAAACAACGTCGCACACCCCGAATTCCCGATCCTTAAACCCTCCGCCCTGAACACTAAGCCGCAGCTCTGAAATCATGAAACCCCATATCCTCAACCCAAGGCCCCTAAACCTGAAACCTTCAAGCCTAAACCCTACGCCTCCAAACCCAAAAGCGCAAAAGCTGATCGTCCGTGAAAGGACTGTCTGGTGCTTAGTAGGGAATGGGGGAATGGATCCCTATGATAGTCCCTTAAGGTCCCTTATAGTAGTCCCTATAGCCCTAAACCCTAAACCCATTCCCCCATTCCCTACTAAGCACCAGACAGAGGAGCCGGTGCCTGGCTCCGGCGGAAAGATCATCGCGAAGATGCTGAATGCCGGAATTCGGCGCGGGCCTTGTCTGGTTCAGTATGTAGGGCTTTGGCACCCAAAGACTCCAAGTATCCCCAAAGGTTCCATGTACCCAAACAGTATATATACTTTGGCCTTAAAGTAGTCCCTACATGGGTGCTTTGGGGCCAAAGTAGATACTATTTGGGTACATGAACCCTTAGGGTATATAGGTCATACGGGCTTCGGTGACGAAGTTCAGAGGCAAACCTGCCTTGGGCTGTTTCTTGCGTTAGGGGTGGTGTGGGTGTGGGGTATACGCTGGACATGCAGATTTGGAGGCATGTTCGGACGTAGGAACCTATCAAGGTAACACCGGTTTTAGGGTTTAGGGTTAGGATTTAGGATTTAGGGTTTAGGTTGTTGCACAATGATTGAACCACCCTATAGTCTCCATTGTAGTTCCTTTGTAGGGCTACCTTTATAGAATCCTTTGTATATAGTAGGTTAGACAAAAAAAGGAACTACAATGGAGACTATAGGACGTTTCCCCGACCCCAAACCGTGAGCCCTAAACCCAGACGCTGAATGAACTCCTGAAGGCCCTCATGTATATAGGAAGTGGGAAGCTGACCAAGAACTCAACGGTTCTTGCCAGGGATCTCATTTTGGGCCCTTTGTATCAACTGGCTTCTCCACCTCTGACTCTGCCGTTTCGAGAGACTTGGCGACCACGGCTGAATATCCAACTGCAAAGGGCCTGGAACCCTAAACCCTAAACCCTAAACCCTTGCAAGCTGAATAGCTTGAGGGCTTGCACACGCATGCATTGCGATGGTTGCAGCGCCATTGCTC